GCAAACTCAGTAGAGAAAATACTTGTGATATATATTCATATTCAGGGGCATAAAGTTGCAATGACATCTATTGCACAAGCAAAATAAAATCTCAGGCAAAAAGGGAGTAAAATCCATGTGATTTATTCAGGTGATATATTTATTACACTTGAAGGGAGAGCATATATTTGGCAGACAAAAATTTAATGTATGGGATACTCTGTTCCATATCTGGCTGCATTGAGGACCTGTGCAGTGCATTGGGAATAGAATAGTGTTAAAGTAATCACATAGATTTCAATTGTAGCCCTACTTGCTGGGAAGATCTGTTTTGCAGCATGACTTATTGATTCGTTGGTCTTCTTCTGAATCTCAGGAGGCTTATGTTGCACAGTTTCCATGGCAAAAGGTTGAGATACCTGCTGCACAAAGTTAAGGCGCACAACTGTCAGTTCTCACGTGGAACAAGACAGCAGCTGCTTTTCCTACTGGTTTCCCACTGATTTTCCCTGATGAGAAAATTCTGAACATTAATGTTTCCTAGTTGACAAGTTCTGTGATAGTAGACTCTTCTGTTTTGGTACAGTGATCGGACAGCAATGTAGTGTCTCTCAGGATAGGTCTAGATGTAAGACGGGAGCAGGAGGGAGAGAGGAAGCGCAAGTGACTTTCTGTGTGGTGACTGAAGTGGGAACTTCAGATACATGAAACCTACGCACATGGCATGCTTGCAGCAAGTTGTCTGATGAAATGGATTTGTGGTTATGATGAGCTAATGCACATAAGCACCTAGCCATAAGGTGCATTCTGACCCATGCAGGAGAACCTGTTTTGAAAATTAAGCACAAATAGTGGCTGTGTGATATATGCCTTAGGCATGGTGTGATTTGCTCAAAGGGCTGTTTTACAGAAGAGTTCTGGCCACTGTAAGCTTGTGGTCCTAACGTGCTAAACGGATGAGGTATAGAATGCTTGGTAGGTTTATATGTAGCTGCATGTCAATTATAACATGGCTTTTCTCCCCTTACATTTTTAGGCATTCTAGGTATGGGTATGGGTATGGGTATGGGTTTGATTCAGCAAAATCCTTTAAATGGCAAAAATGTATGCAATATAAATTGGTATATACAGATTAATTCTATTTTAATTTATAACCATATTCTAAATTTTTGAAAACATTTAGAGTATATTCCATTAATATTGTAAAAATAAAAAGTTTATGTTCCTTGGCAGGATAAATGGAAGGGATCCTTGCTCTCAAGTGAGCTTGAAAAACCTAAAATAACCTGCTGCATATTTACAACAGGAATAAATGATCAGGTAATGAAAAAGTAGCCAGAATCATTTGTTCATGCCAGCCAGCAATACCTAGAGGGAAACAAGCACAGTGTTGAATTGATGTATGTCTTATTTATATATTCTGTATTTTCCATCTATTTTTTAAAATTATCTTGAATGTGGATCTCTTAACTGGCTTTCTTCTAACTGCATCTGTTTTTTTCATTATCTGTACTTGTTATCAGAGGAAGAAGTAGGCCTGGTGCAACAGACTTCTTTCTGCACATCATATTCATGTAAAGTTAATTTTGTAATTATTTTCAGTAAATTAATGTTCATTTGATTGAAGAGAGCTTTATTTCCTGTCTTCTAAGAGGGTTCCCTGAAAATATCAAGAAATCTCACACCCCGTCACCGATTGACTTATTAGGCAAACCCTGGTTAATTCTATGTGTTTCTTCGTTTGCTCATAGCAGCAACAAAATTAAGCCCACATCCATAGCTGTTTTAAGTACAATTGCACAGTGTGTCTAGCTGGCAGCTACCTTAGCAGTACCTTTCTGCCTGAACTGTTTTGAGGCGGAAACTTTGGAACACTAGGATGTCCAGCAAATTAGCTTGAGACATACAGATAAAAAATACAGATATGAAAAATGCAAAATGGGTGCTGTCCTTCAGTGCCAACTCAACACAAAGACATACATAGATACCCTTTGAATATAATCCAGTATTGAAATGTGTTCTTTATTGTGGCCTGAATGCTATACATATTCAATGTATATATGTATGCTTCAGTTTCCCTGCTGCTTACACTAGAGGGTTGTGGGTTTTTCCACAAAATACGTATCTAAACATTTATACATATGATTCAATATGTTTTTAGTGCTGACAGAAAGAGGATATATGTTGAAGAGGAAAAAAGGCTGATGAAGTAAAGCAACTTAATAATAACTGTGTGTCATCAAGTCAATTTTAAGTTATAGCACTTGGTTTCAGGGTTTTCTAGGTGCAGAGTACTCAGAAGTGGTTTCCCATTCCCTTCTTCTGGGGACATCCAACTTAGAAAATAATAAAGATTTGAAATAACATTGCTTTCTGCCATTCCCTGCAGGTTGCACATTTCTTATTCTAATTAATGATATATGTTCTTTGCACATGGTTTTGTTTTCTAGTGGAGTTTACAATAAATGCATAAAACCTGACAATAAATACATAAAACCTGCCTTTTTATAAAAGTCTAGTTGTACAGTGATTTTTTTCATACTATTTTTAATGGTGATATAGCAAGTTGTTGAATTTTATTTTTCCAGATTCTGCAATATAGTACCTTAATATCGGTGGTGAGTGACTTCAACAACCAAGGAAACCCATGTTCTCCCACTGCAACTTGCCATTGGCTGCTATTAGAGTCAACGGCAAAGGAAAGGGGTAAAATAGGATTGGCATTAGGTCTTTCAGCATGCCTAAATGTGGAAGCAGAAGAACCTAGTCCCTCAACACTACTCATTTCCAGTAGTTTGCTTCCTCAGTTCCGCCAGAGTGTGAGGCTGGAAGCCACCTCCAAAGGTACTTCCCAGAGTGTACCATCCATCTCTTCAGAAAGAAGCACCGAGGGACACCTGTTGGGCATAGGAGAGGATTTGCAAGGACTGTGTGTGGCAGGAGAGAGAACAGAGGGCGCTGTTTTGGCAGGAAAGGAGAGGGGGATAAAAGGGGGAAAAGAAAGGAGGAGGGAGTTGTTGGATATTGAGGAAGGAGAGGCGTGTTGGTCAGAAAGTACAGAGAAAGTGGAGGAAAAGGAGGATTTAGTGGAGTTGTTACAGGAAGACCCCTGGACAGGGGAGTGGGTAGAGTTTAAAGTGCCTGGAGATTACGCAGAGTGGAAGAGGCCCATGTACAAAAAACCACCTTATTGGGGGGAAACGATTTCAAGCCTGGCAGCAACGAGAGGCACCATGGAGAGGGGGCAATGGGGCAACAGAGAACCAGTCCATTCAGACCCAAGTTGAGGAGAGATCCAGGAAAAAGGGCTTGGGAGCCACAGGTGGGCTGGACCTTTCACACACACTCCAGCAATGCTGTCTAGGCTGATGCCAGAAGTTTTGGGCACCACACCTAAATGGTACGGGCAAGTTTGGAATTCTTCTCCCCGCATGTTGAAGGGAAACTTGTTGGCATTTGATGATAACCAATGTTATGACCCAGCGTTGAAACAGGAGGTGGAGGTCTCAGTTAAGAAAGACCATGACCAGATGTTACACAATAAAGATGCTTTATTGGAGAACCACGAGTTGCGTGACTTGTCTGTGCATCACAACATTCAAGAAGGAGACAGAGGGGCTGAGAAGAATCACAATGGTTCTGTGTGGTTCTATTAGTATTCTTTTAAATAGCCTTTAATCCATTTGCCCTTTAAATTGTATTTTATATACTACTATGTGTTCATTTTTAATCTCAATCTGTTTTTAATCTTACTGTGAGCTGCCCTAATCCCAGTTTGAGAGAAAGGCGAGTGATAGAGAACAGTACTGAGAGAATGTTATTTAAACTGGAGGAGAGGAAGCGCCAGGTATTGCTGAACCCCAAGCTCCCTTGGCTCCAACCAGGATGATACTCCAGCCATTTGTGAAGAATCCCATCCTGGTTTCTACACATCCTCCACTTTGAACTTGTTGATTTTTAAAAAAGTAACAAATAAAGGAAACTAAAAATAATATATTACAATGTTCTGAAATATGCTATGCAAGTGTCCCTATTCAAGAGTTAATTTTCTCATTTCTACACACCTTTATTTCAGCCCACCTTTCCCAGTGCCTGAACAAGATTTGGCACTATTCAGGCATTAGGAAAGAAGGTGGAGGTAAATGTGTGAGGAGGTGGACTGCTCTGGCCTCTCATACAAATATCCCTGCGCAACTGGACTTAACAAGCATCCAGCCCTTGGGGTGGGACCTTCCATTCATGTATCTGGCAGCCTCACTCAACCTTCCAATCACTCCTGGAGTGCCACTCTCTTCCGATTTGGCTAGCCACTCTAGGTAGAGGGAGGGAGGACGAGCGAGTGGCCGGTCCAACCCTAGGGGCCAGACCCTCTTTAACTGCAGCTATGTGGGGATATTCGTATACAAATACCCCCATTTCTAATGCTCATGTCTGCTTTTTGAGATGTACAAAAGTAAACTTAGATGGTTTTATTAAGAAATACACTGGAGCTTGTTTATTGCATTCTGGAGTAATAAACTTTACGATGTACAATCATTTTTCTTTTCTCTTTGGTAGATGGTTTTAATCAAAGTTCAGTCGTTTTGGACAAAGCATTACCCCTTGAGAATATTCTTGAACCTCTTATGGCATTGAAATTTATAACTTGTACATTATATACAGTATGCAATAAACTTTAGAATAACATCTTATTCAGAATGCTGTAAGCAGAATGCTCCTTTAACAGCGAAAAGTATATGTTTAAAAAAGACTTCACAAAGCAAGGCAAGTTTTAAATTAAATGGGCCACATCATAAGAAGAGTGTTGGTATCCCTCTCAATATACATAACGATTCTGTCAGAGAAATTAGTTTTATAATATTGTTTTTTAAACCGCTTTGATTTATGTAGGAGGGAGGAAAAATCCTATTGCAGATACCACAAATGGTTCCTTTCTTTTGCTGTAACTGTAGCAACAACTGTCCTACAAATAGGCAGAGCTCTCTATAAGCAGGGACGTAATCACTTT